AGACGTTTTAAATCGAGATGTGACTGATTAGATTATACCTAATTGAAGTCCTGACTACTATTAGAAATGAAAAATATGCTTAGGTTCCCACACCCTCTGGGTGGCAAATTGATTCTTACTCTATTTTTAGCCCCATGGTCTCTTTTTAGCCTGTTTACCGAGACAAATTAAGATCAGCGACCTAGATCCAGATGGCCCTGCTCATTTCTTTCTTTCAAGATCTCACATGGGTGTAAAAAAGAATAGGAGGAAATGAAGCAGAAGAGACTGGAGACTAACCAGGGCATCCAGGAAAGGACAGAAGTATGATTTAGCATGGGTGAGGTGTTGGGGTATGGACTAGGGTAGTCATCTGAATGCTACAGGCAGGAACTGACAGTCTTTTTGTGGAATGTGCCTTTAAGTGCTTTATTCTGGTTGATAATTCAGACCACTTGGTTATAGTGCAGTCCTACTCCTTTTTAAAAGGCACCGCCAGTTTTGCTGGATAATGCCCAGTGCATTGTTTTTGCCACAGTCCTTACTAAGTAGGGCTTTTGTTTCCAGTGCTGTTTTAATTTTCCTTAGCAAGCTGAAAGCAATCCATTGCTGATCAAGGGTCTCTCTGCACAAGAATTAGAGTATCTAAGAGCTATATACTTAGAACCTTCCTCATGTTCTGTCCAAAACGTGATGCCTCCAAGATGCATTGTCAGAGTATGATGCCTTGTCCCAGCAGATCACTTCCAGAAAAGCAGCTGTTGGGAATCTATAATGAGAATGATCCTAATAACATTGCCAGAAAGTAAAACGTGACACTGAACCTTAGATTGTGGACTTCTTTGAATGTAAAGAAAGTCACCTGATACAAAATCTTTATGGGAAGAGACAGATGTGTACGCCCATTTCATAAGTGACGGTGTTTACTACATAATAATGAAGTAATGAATGCATGCCTAGGTGCCATATGGATCTTCATATGCCATTCTGGGAACTGTTTGTCACATGGCTGTAACAAAATTTGGTTTGAGCACGAGGAGCAGGTAGAAATAGTTTTGCTCCTTTGTAATATTCGAGTTCTTTTTGAACTGTCAAGAAAAAAGGGAGCGCGCCGGGTGAGAGAACGTGTGTGGGGTATGGGCTGCTGGCTGTGTGCGATCACTCGGAGACAAGGAGAAACCCCTGGAAGAAGCCTGTGCCCACGATGGGGCAGGAGCTGGGTGGACCAGCGTGGGACTGCACAGGGAACGGCGGGGCAGCTCGCTGAGAGCTTTGCCAGGCGCCTCGTGCCCACTAAACAGACTGGAGCGGAGAAGCAGGTCGTGCTGCAGGTGTCGGGGCCAGGATGGGCAAAGTCTGAGACAGCTTGTGCCTAGCAAAGCCCTGCAAGTGCAAAGCTCCCTGGTGCTGAAGCTGAGCGGAGAACAGCGGTGAGATAGCAAGCAAGGCCAGCGCTGGACAACGCCTGGGCTGCAGTGCAGTGCTGCCCCTTGGTGCGCTGGGCAGGATCCAGGCACCATGGCAAAATGCTGACTTCCCCTGCCCTTTCCCCTTCCTCCCCACACTTTGCCCAGCCCAGCTTACTTTGCCGGTCAAAGCTCCCTTTGGCCTCGCTCGCTGGAGCCGTGATCCTGGAGCTGGCCTGGAGGCCAGCCGGGCTTGCGGCAGGGCTGTGATGTGTCTTTGCATGGTCAGGACGGGTAACCTTACACGGTTGTGTGAAGTTCCTCTTGCGGCTGTGCAGGCATCTGGCTGTGGATTTCCCTGGCAGGCGGGTCCATGGCAGGGTTCAAGGCCTCGCAAGCTGCTGCAGGGAAAAGGCTCGCTTGCAAGGTGGAACAGGTGAGGTGTGTGTCTTTTGGCAGCACTTAGGGCCCAGCTGAGGTGTGGTGGTTTTCTTGGCAGGGGATGCAGGTAAATGAATCTGGGTGCAGGCGAGGGGAAGAAGAATAGGAGCCGTAGCTGGATTGCTCCCAGAGCCTGTTCATTTCCAAATGCCGTGCCTTTGGGCTTTTCCCCACCCACCCTCCTACCCTTGCTTGAAGGGAGGAAGTCTGTGCCAAGTACCCAGGTGACTGTCTTGTAATCGGGGCTTAGGGCTTTTCCTTTACCTTCTCTGGGCACCGGCCCTTTCCTTGCCTGGTTTAGCGCAGCCTCCCTTGAGGGTGATTTAGGTTTTAGCTGCACGCACTGCTTTGTGACCGTGCCCTGCCGCGAGTCTCTGCATTTACCTGCTACCAGCTTCTGTAGCAACCTGTGACCGAGGCAGTCGCTGTTGCTTTCAGGGGAAATTCAAAGAGTCCTGATTTGATTTCTCTGCAAACAACTGTGTCCTAAAAAATAAAAGATGTCACCAGACATGACTAATATGTATTTTCATGCTTTTACATGCACTTTATTCCTCCCCCACCCCTTTATTTATTTTTTGAATGTTTTTATATTGGAAAGTGTTTCAAGGAAATATAAGTTTTACTCCAGAAGTATTGATATTTAAGGTGAGGTGAGATCTATTTTATCTTTAAGGTGGCTTTCTGTGGTTACTAAGGACGCAGCCAGATATTTACATTCATTTTCTTAAAGTGAAGTGTGTGTGTGTTTGTGTGTGTGTGTGTGTGTGTGTGTGTGTAATCCCTTATAAATGTGTCTGTGCACTGATTTCTTGGAAGTGTTCATTTCAGCATTGCAGTTCCGGCTACTTTTGTATTTTTTAAAAGAAGTTTTCACCCTAATAGTATTTTAAGTAAGACTGAGCATGTCTCCATATGGATTGTTTTTTCTCCATGAGTCTTTGTGTATTGTAGAAAGATGGAGGGATTAAATTGTCTATCTTGAGGAGGAAAGTGTGTGTAGGCGTGTCAGTCTGATCCTGTGCTATATGTTACTGGAATATTATGAGGGCTTTTTGTCACAGATGTAAAACTTTGCCAGCGAGCTTCAAAAAAAAATAGGCACGTTAAGACAACAGAAAAGAAGTCTATATATAAACTTGGAGCAACTAGCTTCGCAACAGATGTTTCCTTCCCAGGGATTTTTTCCTGTCCTAAATTAAAAATAAAAGCTACCAGAACTTTTACCATATATATGCATATAATTAAATACAATCTAGTGCGGAAGTTTGTTGCATGTAGTATTTCGGTAAGATATGTGAGGGGGAATCCAAATAGAAACCCATTGTGTGTATCCTGTTAAAAGTGGTTTATCTCGTAAAGTCAACATATTTAAATGGTCAGCTATAAGAAAAAAATAAGTCAAAATTCAGTTTACTTTCCTATAGTCACGCGAAAGGGAAAACCGCTTTCTCAAGCCGTCACGCTTTTATTTTGGGGAGCCTAAATGAATTCTTCACAAGAGAAGTTTGTTGTTCGAACATTCAGAACAAGGAAGCCAAGAAACCAGCATTTTTTATATATAATTTCAATGTTTACAAATATTGAAGGAACCATGCCTGCACTTGACTTCTCTCCAGATCTCATTTAGGGTTTGGTTCTTTCTTGTACTCCATGTTTGCCAATAGATTTACTCCTATTTTGCACCAACAAGAAAGAATAGCAATATATAGCACTTACAAGGTGTTTTTTGAGGTGAGGCTCCATGTCTTACAAAGGGAGCGTCTCCTTTTTACAGAGGTAGGGATTCATCCAAGGTTTTGAGCTGCCGAAGGCCACAGGGTTAGCGACATAACTAGAAACAAAGCCTAGGTCTCTTGGTTTCTTCATGACACTTGGCTCCCTGCCCAAGTTATGGATTGTATATTATTATAGAGGTAAATTCCCAAACTGGTCTGCATTGCATTTGTTTCTGGTCCGCTGAAGGATTGGTGGTCACATGGGGCCAGATGTCTCGTTTCCACATGTTAAAATTAATTTAAGATGGCTAAAAGAATAGTTCATATTTTCCAATATTTAATTTCAACATAAGTAATGAGTCTGGTTGCCATAAGTCTGCTCCACTGTGTCAAACAGAGGAGGATGTCGGAGGGAAGGTGTCTCTCATTGTCTCTATCAAGATCTGACCTGTGTCTTAAAACAGAAAAGGGGACTGTATTCTTAGTGGGGGGGCGTGTTTCCACTGGGAGAAGGGGAGCAAGAAAAATGTTAAAAAAGAAGGAAAATGAAACTAAATAAGAATGAAAAAGATGAATTTATGGGACTAAGAAGTGGGATTACTTGGAATGGCACTAGTCATGCTTTTCTCTGGCTACCTGGCCAGGGTAACCACCTAGTTTGGGATGGGGGCTGTGTCTGCACTAGCTACACAGCTGTGCTGCACTTTTAAACTATTTAGCTCTGTTACCAGTAGCGGTCTAACCGCAGCAGCACGCTGCTCAGCACGGGCCACTTTGCCTTGATTCTTGGCATGAGAAATGTCACTGCGGTAGTAGTGAAGAACAAGTCTGACCTTTTTAGTACACCAGTTTGTGTCTATATAACTGCCAATTTTTTTTAGGCAGAAAGTAAGTACGTTTCTAGTCATTCTCCTGCAAGGTTTTATGCAACAGGTCTATGTTCAACGCAACCCATCCCTTTCAAAAGCCCTTATTCCATCGGCCTTGTTACCTGCTGGTCTCGGTGATTTACACATGACTGAAGTAACCTGGGTGGTTTCTGTTTAGTTCGGTGATGGTTTTGGGGGGCAGATCGTCACTTTATTTGATTGCTGAAAAAATCAAGATGCTAAAATCTGCTTTTGAAGTCCCTGTAGTGTTACCCTACAGCATATGCAATATAGTTTTGTGTGTATAACACAGATGTATAGCTTTACCACTTAAATTTCACCTGGATATTGCTTACAGATTTGTATAAACTCAGGGGAAAAGGGAGGTTACCCACACAAGACACATTATTCAGACTTTCCGTATAGAGCAAATTTTAACACTGTCTTCATTTTTGAAGTAAAAGAAACCAGCTTTTCCATGAAAGAGTTAAGTATATGCAATGTCTAGGGAAAAAAAAAAAAGAGGAGGGTGGGATGTGGTGGTGCAATGTGATGGTGAGAAGCTGTAAAGTATATAGAGCTATGAGATCAAACTTCAGGCAAACTCCACCTCAGTCTTGAAGCAGAAGCACAACCTCTGTGAAGGAATATCCACCCCTTGGCTTGCTGATCGCCAAGACTGGAGCTACAGGAAAGCTGCACGCAGCCTCAATAGCAGGACTCAAAAACTCAAGATTACTCAGAGCAACATACAGTTTTAATTGTGAGCCACAAGCAGGGATGTTTTTGGGAAGCTTCAGAGCAATGAAGAGGAAGCAGCTTTTCTGGGCAGCTCTCTGTGCTCTGAGCCTGCTTGGTGAGTATTAAACATAAAACGATGCAGTTATAGCCACTCAGTTGTTTTTTTTCAGGCATGAAATACAGCAGCATGATGACAATTCATTCTTCTCTATAATATGTTCTTGGAATAGCAAACTAAAGAGAGTGCTGTCAGGTAAGGTATATTCAATAGAAGTAGAGCATATCACAACCTGATGTGGAGAGCTTGGTACTAAAGGCAATACAGGGGAGAGATGCTGGTATAATCCAGCCCCTCCCAAATGCCCAAAAAGAATGGAAATCCCAAACAGGAATTAGTGCTGATTTAAACAGATGTGAACCAGCATCCTTCCCAGCAGAAAGGATGTTAGGTGGAAGCCTAAAGTTGGACTGTGCTTGTGTGCTGAGTCCATCCAGCGAATGCAAGTAACTTGTGTCTGCACCGATGCAGAATTTCCAACTTCAGTCACTATTTGATGAAAGATAAACGCTTCCTTAAAAATATGATTACAGTTATGCTCAGTGAACACGGGGAATCCTCCTATCATACTTCTGCAAGTAACACTCAGCACTGCAAAATATTTGTATAGTAATGATGAGAGGATTTCCTTACGTAGCTTATTTAAAAGGCAGTGTTTTGGGGTGGAAACATTACCTCTTTTACCTCAAAACCAGGAATCTCCAAAATGATGCTGGATATAAGAGGTTGAAGATAGACTGTTCTTTAATCAAATGTGCCATATCCTGTGTATACCGCAGGATCCTCTGGGTATCAAACCTACTGTAATTGTGCCCTAGTCCCTGCAATGTGAGCTGGTAGAGCCTCTCAAATGCTTGGTTACAGTCTACTCCTCCTTCTTGCTGTTTATTTCAATGTTTAAACTTCAGAAAGGATCGAGTTCACTCTCATCTGACTCTGGCAAGATGTACATTTGCTCATTTGAGCCATTTCACCTTAGACTTCAGCGGGCACTAATCTTACAGAAAGAAAATGTACAAAGAAGCCTTTAAAAGTACACTTCAGAAGTGTCGCGCTGAGGTGCCTAGCTAGCAAGACTTGTATGCAAGTGTTCCTCTGCCATTAGAAACCTGAGTCCACTTGTGATATGAAAAAAGTGAAGACAAAATTATCTGATGCCAGCTTTGGCTGGGTTTGGGTTGTGTTTTTGTTTTGTTTTTTAATTTTCTAGTTGCACCGTGTCCAGAATATGATACATTTTATTGGACCAGTCACTGCATTGCACTTATACAGGATACTGCACCGCTTTGCAATCACCAAATAAGATGCCAACATTTGCTGGAGTAGGGAACTATTATTCCAAATCTAGTTCAGGGTAATATGAAGTACAGAGAGATTAAGGATGTGATTTTTTTTTTTTTTTTTCCCAAGGGGTGGAGCACCTTAACTTGATTTTTTTTGTTGTTTGTTGGAATTGTGAGTGAAACTCAGGCCAGGGTGGAATTTGGGAAGGTTTCACAATAAGTTTCTTACAAATCCTGGATTCTCTTTCCAGCTCTCCTAGCCAGCTACTTTAATTGCCAGATACGTTGAGCTACATCTGTTGCACAGTAGATGCCTAAATAGCATATGTGCAATGGCGTACCCGTGGTTTATGGCACTTGTGCACAGCTTGTTTGTCCCTGTAGCAAAACAGAATGGCTGTGTGAGTGCACCTGGCCAAAGCAAAGCAGAGGAGGAGTAGAAGAGCACTCCCGCTCGTCGGCCCCGCAGTGAGGGCACTAGCCCAGGCAGTAGGAGGCCCCAGTTCTGGGCTGTCCTCACCCAGAGGGAGCGAGAGCTTGCTTCCCAGTAAATCGCTCTAACCACCACGCTACAAGCTAGGCATGATATGGAGGCTTCTTCAGCCCTCCTCTTGAAGAGGCCCCTTGCACCTTTACTTTTCACATTGGGTAGCCAGGATGAATAAAGAGCACCTGGAAAATCCCTGTCCCCACTGGAAGCAGGGTCCCAGGCTCAACCCTGGTCCCTTTCCTCTGCACAAGAGCATCCACCTCCTGGAGGTCATGCACGCTGTGGTTAGGTCTCCTTCTCCTGCTTCATCTAGCTTCCTCTATTGCCTGCCCGGGAGGTCAGCTCCAGGGCTAGAGCTGGGGAAAGACCTAGGACAGGCCAGCCTGTGGCCTATGGGCTAGAGCGCTTTGGTACGAGGCAGGGGATGAAGGTTCATATCCCCTCCGAATAAGTTGTCCCTGGAACTGAGCTTCAAGTGTGCAATGCCCACTAGTCACGTTTTTCTGCAACTAAAAGTTGGGACCTTAAATCAGCCTTGTGCACATATCCCTGCACAGCTGCCCTCGTTGGCCTGCTTAGTTGGGTGCACACAGACTCGTGCATGCAAAGCTGAGTTGCAAGCTGCAGGCAGGTGCCAGAAACTACATAAGTGGCAGTGAGGCACCTACAGCAAAATAGTGTTTTGCCTGTTGCCTTTTCTGGGGGTTACTAGTTTCATCAGTTTTCGGTCCTGAAATACTATGTCTGCTTCAAGTGTCCAGAAACATTTACAGACTCCAGGATAAATACATTAGTGGCATTATAACATGAAGCAGTCAGCACAGGTGAAGTGGGCACTGTGCTAGCATTTTCCAGCTTGTAATTCAGGGATTTGTTTTCCATTCCCAGTTTTTAGCTCTTCCATGCACTCATCACTTAAGTCGCTGCTGAAATCCTTGTCTCCATTAAGGAAGAAATGTTGCAAAATGTGGTCATTTGTAGGTACTCGTATGAACAATCGTTCTAGGTGGAGAAGGATGGAGGTCTGGCTAGCCACTGAGTTTTAATTTGATCATGGGGCTTGAACAAATCCCAGCACTCAGAGCCATCTTTTGCCTGGCAATGGGTCAAAAATATGCCTGTGGTTTTTGCCTGAGATTCAGGCCCTGGGGCCCAGCAAGCTTTGCCCAAAGTCTTGGTAAAATCTTGCCCCAAGCCTGGTATTGCAATGAAATTGTAAATCAGATGCAAAGTTCATACAGCATGCCCCAGTGAGGAAAGGATCATCCTGAAGTAAATGGTAACAGAGGAGGGGCCTACCTCTCAGCCCAGCAATGGAGCAGTTGCAGCCCTTGCTCAGGGCTACCTCCGTGCCATTGTGGCTATAGTGGAGCCTGCCAAGATGGGAAGCATAGGTGGAAATAAAATGCAAAAGTGGCACATATGCAGCTATATACGGGACATTCAGGCACAACAAGTTGAAATAAGATTTAGCCCACAAGGCCATGAAGTTGCCAGCTGAGGTCCAGAAGTCACCAACTCCAAACTTGCATGGTGCATTCCCCACCAAATACTCTTTTACACGTCTGTGCACAATGCAGAACTCTTTCCTAGCCCTTCCAAAGATTAAAGGCACACACATATTGTGTTGATGGGGTTAAGTAACCACCTTATTTGACTGAAGGGAGTTTGAAAGACCCAACTTTTGCACAGGGCATTGTAGGGGCTATGGGCAAGTGGCTATTCCAGCAGATTTTCCAGTTGCTTTGCTGTGGCATAGGTGTGTCACCATTTCTTTAAACTCACATTCATTAAAGCAAGACCACTTTAAGTCTGTCATTTCATAGAGAAGAGTTGGTGTTAAGGACCTGCAATTATAAGAACATGGGTGTAGGACCATCCTCTGTTTGGTTTATAATGTTATGTTACTTCATTTGATTCATCTATCCCAGTGACAGGCAGTAAGTAGGAACAGAGCTGGTCTAGGGTGGTACAAGAAAAAATGTGTTGACATGTTACTTTGAACTCTTGTAGTAAAGCTGGAATATGCACAGAGTAAAGGCAAATCCAGTCATGAAATTCAGTAGCAATATAATCTAGCACTTATATTAGACGAGAACTAAAATTCACACTGGATTGCTATAGCAATTTTCAGTGCCTTTCTATCAACTACTCTTCATATGTTTTAGAAGTTGTTCCTAGGGGGTCTTTCCCATGTTCAGGCACTAAACTCTTTGCGTGAATTGTAGTAAGTGACTTCACCTCTCCGCATTTCCGTTTCTCTTTCCGTAAAATGAGGATGACGAGGCCTTTTTTTTTTTTTTTTTTAATGCTTTGAAATGGGTTTATGGAAAGTGCTAAGTAAGAGGTAAGTAATATTACTGTGAACTGATAATATGCAGCTGTGTGATATTTCATAGCCCAGCAAATTGGACACTTTCCCATCACTATAATAGCATTTCCATGCTCCCCCTGTGTGCAGTTCTAAAACCCTGGTTTGTGACCATGCCTTCTGATACGATTTAAATTAATACCTGATGAATTTGTCCCAGGTCACATACTGTCTGTGACAGAACCAGGAAATAGAGCCCTGTCCTCCTGAGCTCCGGGTCAGTGCATTGACCTGGCCGTCCTTATCCACAAAATCATCCTTCTCCTCAGCTGGCATTTGCTTCTGTGTCCTATCCCAGCGTTTCCTTTACCTTCCACGTTGCACAAGCTGCTATCCATCAATTAAGTGCCAACCTGCCATCCCAGGAACAGCTCAGCGTGTGCTGTATGGAAACATAACATGCATTGTGCCTTGGGATACTTAAGATTGAAAGGTGCTAAGTGAAAAATATTTGCTCACACAATCCATCTCATAACGCAGGCTTTGAATCGCTAGAGACGGGCAGATCCATTTGTTTAAATAAGAACATTCAGCCGAGCATGAAGCAAGCCCAAATCAAGCCCTCGATGACATTCAGAAATGTAACAGCGTGCCAAGTTTCAGCTGTGCGTGATCATACATTGCCACAATATTAACTGCTTCACTAAAGCAGGAATTGGGACAATGTGTGTGTACGCCCGGGGAAGGGAGAGCTGCTCACGGACCGAACAGGGCGACTGCCCTAGTAGTGCCCGTATCAAAACTACATGTACGGACACTAGTGCAAGAGACGGCTTTGTGTGCCAGTCCGGAGTTTGGGGTCTTTTTTTTTTTTTTTGCTTTGCATGCTGTTGCCTTAAAGCACATATCCTTTACCACGATCCTATAGAAACAAAGAAGTTAGCCTTCCAAAAAGAGCTGACGTAGAAGACGC